TGCTGCCACACGCTTTTGAAAGCCATTTAACTGTGACTGTAGTGACAAATGTCAGCGGGAGAGCAGCGAGAGAGAGGGCATCGGAATTAAAGGATGAAATATTTATTTGGGGATTTGGCAGCACTGGGAGGACAACACAGGCGAGAAGCATCTTGGAGTGGGCAGCACTGAAAGCCACAAATGAGCCCACTGGGCTATAAACTGCCAGGAGATTCCCTCTCCCTCCCTACCTCCCACCCCTCCCAGGATCATTACTGAGAAGGTTAAACATCCAGGCACAGCCCAAAGCTCTGGACAGCCAGACAGCAATGCAGTGTCTGAGCCAGGAAGAGGAAGAGGAATGCTAGTCCAGCCTGGCTTGAAATACAAGCTCTAAACCCTCCGACTGACAGGCAGTACATCATGGCAGAGCAGGGATTGGGAGGTCCTGGCTCTGGCAGTGGGGGCCTGTTTGGAAGGGTGGGATGAAAGCTCAGATCATCCACAGAGGAATAGGATCTTGGGCTTTCCTCTCCCACCATCCAGGCTCTGGATGACTGGTTTTCTCCTTTGCTGGCTCTTGTTTTGCTGGGGATGTAGCACAGGGCAGTCAGGACCCCCAGGCTTTGGTGGTAGGACTGAGGCTGGGGAGTGATTCCAGGGCTGGAAGCAACCTCCACGGTGGGTTTTACATGTTAACCAAATAAAGAAGCTAAATTAAATTTCATCTTTTTGTGCTGGCGAGGCTCCTCTGAGTCTGCCTCACTCTCAGTCTGGTGATGTCCCATAGCACCATGAGGTCCCATCCTCAGGGTCCCACTTTGCCTCTCCCAGCCAGGATAACATCAAGGGTTAATGCAGGATTATCTCAAGAGGCTACAACCTCATCAAGAGCACAGGATTGGCAGGTCATTAATCTCAGAATTACTTGATAACTTTAAATACAATCATGTATTTTTAACCTGTAATTATTATTTATGTGCATGGTGCTTACCAAATTACAGTGCTCTCCAAGGCTCTGTGTGATGAACAAATTAATTCCGCAGCGGAAGAGCTTGACCAGAAAGATGTTTGTGTCTGAATTTCATTCGTAAACATTGATGTATGAAATGAAATTCGAGTTTAATTGGCCCTCCCCCATGCTGTGAAGTACATTTTTATTCCGCCTTAGCCCAGCTGGCGAGAGGGAGCATCACGGGAAACTTGGAGGAGTTTCTCTAGCCCTGATAGCGCTTGCATGGGAGAACCAAGCAGGGTGTTCCTCACCCCATCTTAGATGAGATGGTGTCAATACCATCATGGAGAGCCTTTATCCCACCTCCATGCCATGGACATGTGGACTTTTGGGGTAGAAGAGACAAAAAAGCCAGCAGGTACCCCAGGTGCCTCTGTGGCCAGGGGGATGCTGAGCCCACTGCAGCGAGAGGATGCTCCCATGGGAAGTGGGGAGGGACCACGATGGGGTTGTCTTTCCCAAACGATAAACATGCCTCAAAGACCCTTGTGAGAGGAACTGAAGTGATTTTAATCAAACAAGGCTGAGAACACACACGCTTCTCCAGCTACAGAAAGCAAAGTCATGTCAGTCAGAGCAGACCACCGAGAGGAAAAGGAAAAAACAGTGGTGAGAACACAGATGCTCTGTTCAGGTTTCTTTCTTTGGTTTTTCAATTTCCAGCTTCCTTTCCACCAAAAGTGACTCTGCTTTAGAAAAATCCAAATTGAATATGTAGTGCATCACTTTTTCTGGTAACATCACTTGTTTGTGTGATGAAAAAAGCTCCCTGGGGCATTTCCCCTTCTCCGGAGCCAGCAGACCTTCCGCAGCTCCTGCCAAAGCACCTGGCAGAGAAATCAAGCTGACCCATGGCGGGGTGACACAAATCTACTCCTTGTGGGGTGTCAGCAGAAAGCATCTGTAGAGCTGGGAGCTGCCAGTTTTGCCCTTGCATAAGTCTGGGGAGATTTTTCTCACCTATCAATTGGACAATGGGAACTTTCTGGGAATGTTGGTGGTGGAGGAGCTGGTACAAGGACCAAAATCTGCCCCATGTGCAGGGTATGGTCCTCGCTGTGGTCACTCTGTCTTACTGGGAGTTGTCGCTGCTCCCAGCATGTTACTGGAGACGATGGGGTATTTCTGGTTTTGGCTGCACAGTAGACAGGCAGGTAGGAAATCTCAAGGGGAGGGAGATGGGAGGAACTTGCTTCAAACTACTGAACTTCTCAAATGTTCCAAGAACCTGGGGGTTTATGCGTGTGCCTCCCTTTAAAGAAAAAAGGAAAGATTTTATTCCTTTCTGGTAGTGTAGCCTGAGGAAATCAAAGGGTACTACAACTTCAAAGATGCTTAAATCACCCCAGGGCAGGAAATACTTACACCTGTTCTTTATAGTGGGGAAACTGAGGCACAGAAGTGTAAAGGAACTCATATCAGACTCTGTAGGGCTCCAGCTGCAAAATTCCTGGGATGCAGAGAGCATACTCAGCCCATGACCCCTCTGGCATCTTCCCCCTGCCACAGCATCCCCAGACCTCAAATGGAACAGGGTAAAACGTGGCTCTGTGGAGGTCAAGACAAAACCCTCCACCTTGCATGGACCTCTTCGCTCAGCTGCTTTTGGTGACCACATGAAACAGGGTATCAGGGGTGAATCGGGGACTTGGCAGCTGCACAGGAGACGATCTGAGGTCCCCAGCATGGGGAGGGAGGATGCTGCTCCTCCAAGGCACTTAACCCCAACGTGGGAATGATTTGGCCCCATCCACTGTCTAAGAGCAACGAGCAGCTTTGGCACTGAGCCCACCTGCACAGGTAGAAGTGGGGCAAGGAGGAGGGAAGCAAAGCCACGGCATGTCCCCACAGAAGCTGCCTTCAGGGCGCTCAGTCGCCGCTTCACTGCAGTGCTCTCTCACCTTTCCACCCCTGAGCAGGGGCATGGAGTCAGCCTGAGGTCCAGGAGCTTTGTAGACCCATCTGGGCTGGGCTGGACCCAGGGTTTACTAACCCTCATAGTTCTCTTTAAACCAAGCTTGCTCCGTGAGGCTGTTCTGAGCCCCTGGGACCCATGCCCATACCCTGCGCGGTTCCCTCCTTTCTCCCACCTCATTGCTCCACCTCACACCTTCGGTGCCAAGATGAGAAATGACCTAGCAAGGGCCAGGGTTCAACTAACCCCAGTGGTCCAAAACCACAGCCACATAAAGCAACACCTGCAGTCACTCCAGGGCTCTCCATCTAAGCTGTATCAACCCAGAAGGGTTTGGCCCCCTCAGGGGGTTTTGCCCCCCACCCCAGCAGCATCCCAGCGTGTGCTCATTGGAAGGCTGACCCAGCCTCCCATGGAATTAGCCCCATAATCTGTCCCAGCAATGTCCCGGTGTCCTGTCACCTCAAAGAAGCGACAAACTCGAGGGAGGCAGCGATGGGACATGGGGCATCGTACCCAGGATGGAGGCAGGCGCAGAGGTTGCTGCAACCTCTCCAGGCTCCTGCAGCAAATTCTGTCGCCCCAGCAGGTCACGCCGCTGCCAGGGAGGTGACAAAGCAGCATCTCAGCTGTCCTATCCTACAAGTCTGCCCCAGCAAGTGGGACAGGAACTTCTGCAGGGTTTCCCACAGCTGCAGCGAGTTTGTGTGCCCCCTGCGAGGCTGGTGGGTGCAGGCAGGACCTGGCTCCTGTGCTGTGCCGTGCCAGGGATCCCCCACAGCGGGGACGCTGCCTCCCCCATCGCGTACGGCAGCTCGCTCCCGGCTCAGACGGCCGAGGACTGCTTGATGCTGTGGAAGCTGACGCGTGTCGGGGAGGTGGGGATG